CCGCTACAGGCGTCTGCGACAACAGTGCAATCCGTGCATAAAGCCGCCGATCGATTACATGGAACTCGTCAGTCTCATCGGCAATCTCCAGGTCTTGTGCCTTGTTGTTGGAGTAGCTCGCCTGTCTCCCCACGTTGGAGTTCGCTTGAGTGGCGCTGACCGGGTCAATCTGCCACCAGAGCCCGGTAGCCAGCAGGCTGTTTCCGTGTGCGCCTACCACTCCGATCTTGGCGTGGAACGGCAGACCGCCAAACTCCTCCAGTGCCGTCGTAAGGGATGCGAATCCGCTGCGGCCCAGCTGGCACGAATCCCAGAACGTGCTCTCAGCAGCTGTGCCGACTGCATCGATACACTCGACACATTCGATTGCGTCCGGCTGTGTGCAGGCGAAATCATCATCGGCTGCCTAGAGAGCAGGCTTCTGGGCGGCTGCAGTGCCGGCGCACTATCGACAATTGTCTTCAAATCGTCGATATACTGCTGTCGCAGCGCTGCTTCTTGCTCCCGTGCCGTCACCTCCATCTGCCACTGCGAAAACACTGTGCTCACCAACGCGCGCTTCCGGAACGCATCTGCCTTGGCAGTCATCACCTCTCGGTATGCCACCTCATATGCAATAAAGGCGCTCGTATAGTCGGTCAGCGAGCTGGCAATGTCCTCAGCCAGCTGTGCCGCGATTCGCTCATTGGCACAACTGCGGTCGAGCTCAGGTGCGGCAATGTCACGCACAATAGATTCGAGCATGTTGTCCAAAATGGCGTTGGACAGCATCGTCCAGTGGAATGAACCGCCGCGGCTTGTTCCATGTTATCTCTGTCACCTTGGACGCCTCTGGCTGCGGTGTTGGAGCCACGGGCATGGAAAAGGCAGGCTTCATTACCGGCGTAGGGGTGAACACAGGCACATCAGGTTTGGCAGGCGCAGTGCTGGGATCCGCGGTGCTGGTATCGGCTGGCTGCTTTGGCGGTGCAAACAACGACTGCGGGGCAGACAGCGACGACGACTTCTGTGCTGGCGCAGTCACTGGCTTCACCATGGCATTGCTGAACGGCGAAATTGGGGGCAGCTGCTCGCTGGCAGGCTTGGTGCGCTCCTTTTGTGGCTTGAGCTCAGGACGCTTGGACGTCTGGAAAATGCTGCTGTGGTTGCTGGCAAATGCATTTGGTGTCGACAGCGCTACCGGCTGCTCTACTTTCGTGGGTGCTGGGTTGGGCATGGCCTTTGGCGCCGGCACCTTGGGCACAGCAAACTGGACTTTGTCCGGCACTGGCGCAGCAGCTGTTTCACTGGTGCAGCAACTGCCTTTGGCGGTACTGGTGCCTGGCTTTTAGCCACTGCGGCATTGGCCAAAGCCCGGCGCATTGGATGGGGTTGCAAGAACGCCGGTCCAGATCCGAATTGATCACTTGAATAGGTGTCGCTGACTGAAACTTGACACCCACACTCTCAGATTCCTCCGCACCCTCTTCGCCCTTCTCGCCGGCTCGCGATACGTCAGCCGTTATCGACCTTTGCGCCCAGCATCACGCCGCCCTCGTTAACAGGCACGTTGAATAGCGCACAAAACTCCTTTGCGTCGTTGAGCCCATCGAATGCAAAATGTCTGCAAACTCGCCCAGCGGATACTCTCTGCCCTTCTGGTGCGGAAACGCCGAATTCATAGCCTTGAGCCCCGCTCGTCTGATGCGTGAAACTCGTACTCGGCCAGGCATGCCAGCAGCAATGGTGTCTCGGCCGAGGCTACGGCGCGGAAGAACTGCGTGGTCTGGATCTGCGCACCAAACAGATTCGGCGGCAGCTGTTTGTTGACGATCTCGTTGCTTGTCTGCGATAGCCTGTGTAGCTTCAGCGCCTGCTGAACAATCGGCGTGAGGAAGATCTGCAGCGGCAGCTGGTCAGCCATACGCTTGGCATCGGAATCATGCAGTTGCGACACGATGTAGTACGCCGTAAACTCAGCCTCGTTCGGACACTCCAAGCCCTCAGCCCGCAGGTCCTCGTAGACCTCAATCAGGGTCTTCAACGTCTTGTGCAGTTGCTCCATGTCCTGGTGCTCATCAAAGTCCTTGTTCCCGCACAGCACATGTAGGGAGACAATGTGAAACCGCGCAATCCGCTCGTGTGCTATCACCGACTCCCGGCTGCAGGCGTTCTGCTGCGTAAAGTCCACCCGGATCGCCCGCGTCCGATCGCGTACAAAACCCGTGACAGTTCTCCAATGTTTGGTCACCCGCAACCACCACATTCATCAAGTAATCCAGCGTCTTCAGCAGTGTCTCGGGTGTCCGCACATCTGATGCAGAGGCTCCTCATCACCCGCAGACGACCGGTGGTAGATCTTGACTGTCTTTGCCGGATCCGCCCGCTTCGTCCCAGGAATCACCTCATACTTGTGGAGGTTATTTTGCAGTTCGCGCTCCTCTCGCTCATCGTCGGGGCACATTTTCGTGCAGGTTCCGACAAACTGCTTGGCCCCTTCTAGGGTCGTGGGTTTCTTTGGGTCGCTTATGACACCCTGATCAATGAGCGTCTGTCGGAGTCTATTGCGAGTGTCCCTCAGTGGCCTTGAGTTTGGCCGCTACGGCATCATGGTTGAACCGTACCAGGCGCTGTGCCATCAGCGTCTCCTCGTTGCGGTCGTCCAGTGGCATGTCCATGCTTTGTGCCAAATACTGCGTAGGAGACTTGAAGCGAGGGGATATAATAGAAAAATAACAGTATAAAAAAATACGGAGCAGAAGAAAAGCGAACGCGAGCTTGTCCCTTCCAAGGAGCTGCAACGGCCTGAAAGGCGCTGCTAAGCCCTACTCAGCCCACTGTCGCACTCCGCACTGATTCTTTGATCCAGATCACCGTATGTATTGGCTGTTATGGAATGAGATATCAGAAGGGCTATGTGATAGAGTAAACTCGCAAGACAATGTGGTAGCTCGTGTTGTAGGTGTTGTATCTGGTGTTGTATCCTCAAATCCAATCTATTTAGAGCCATTCTAGGTTTCCTAAGGCTATACAGCACCGCTGCGCAGCTTTTACAAGCTGCTGATAGCCACATCCTTGGCGAATCCTTGCATTTTGCATTTCTGCAAGCAACATCAGCCAAATATGTGGATATATACCAATGACAATAACAGCAGATAGAGAGGAGTCCGGTGCCTTACATTCTCCTACCCTGCATTGACCTTGAATACTATGTGGAGCTGATTTTCGGTGACTGTTGGCGCCTTGCAACCCTGGTGGGAAGGATGTAAATACACCAGGCACATCCAGAAACCCTACTCAACAATGACAGACCACGGCTATCCATCCTCATGCACGTCAGAGGTAGACATGCATACATTGCTGTTGTCACAATAGATGAAAACGGCACCGTGAAAAGGATAACAAACGCTCTCTCTCAAATGACCATCCTTGGTCTGCGTGCGTGTGGATATCAACAAGAATCTACAGTGGAAAAAGACCAACTTTCTGAACAGGGCTGCAGAAAAACCAAAGGGCTGCCAAGCGACACCTTAGGCAAACACACCTAGGAGAGTAGACCCAGTGTTTACAACTATTGCACAGTAGATGTGAAAATAGTGCGGTGAGAGCAAACTCTGGCAGTGCTAGATATCCATTCCTGGCCCTGGCAGCAGCATCCTGCCAATGCTATCGGTGCAAAAATGCGCATCTGTCGCTACAACATTGCTGTCGCCTTTGTGGGTGTTGGCAGCGGCCAGAAAGATCCTCTTGATTTCTGAGGTTAAGAAAGTTGTCCCACCCTTGCTCCTTGTCATAAAAGCACCGCTTCCCCCTCAGCCTACCCCTCCACTTGGCTCCCTAGCTATTCAAACACTAGTTCTTTTTACACCCCACTTCTCTAATATGTCGACCCCAGGACCAATTACGAGACTCCCCGACGACCTCACCGATCAGATCTTTGAGCGGCTATGCACACCCAGATGCTCCCTGCGGTCAAACTATTTTGGCCTTAAAGATGTGTTGCCGCTAGCACAGGTGTGTCGTAGCTGGAGGGCCCTGGCTCTCAGAACGCAGGTCAAGACTGTTGGTATCGAGCGTGTTTGCACCGAGCGATGCAGTAGGAACAACAGCCACGGCTTCGGGCTGGTATCCAACATTGTGACAATCGTTTCAATGGGGCTGACCAGCTCGGTTACCGATCTAACCATTTCCTTTGCGCCTGGTTGCAGGTGCATGCCGCCGATATTGGGTATTCTAAGAGTATTCAAAGCCAATGGTAAAAAGTGGACGGGCGTCAAATCGGTTACATTTTACGGTACTGGAATTGCGAGGCATCTAACTACCCCAGATCAAATCTCGGCCATGGATCGCGAGATTGACCAGGCATTTGATATGTTCACTGGCCTATTCCCAAACATCACGTCGATTGCCTATAACCAGTTCAAGTATGGTGGTGCAACACGGAACTATGACAACAGCCCTGACCCACTACTTCTGATGTACAAAAGGCTTATTCGCCACTACAGGAAGCAGCTCACTTCTATCTATGGATATCATTCGCTGATACCAAGAGCCATCTCCAGCATGGAATTCGAAGCAACCAGCTTGAAAATGAACTTGGGATATATAGATCATGATAGCGGATATCCCCAGTTCAACGCATCAGTTTTACGCGAGGTGATGTTCTATAATATCAGCGGAGACGTAATTTGGAACTGGTTCAAGCCTACAAAGGACAACGAAATCGTCTTCTCCAACCTGACACTACTTAGTTTGGCGTTCAGTTTCCGACCACCCCTGAGTACGAAACTAGATCCGGACCGGTGGATCCATCATACGTTTCCCAAGGCTGTCATCTTTGTCGGTTGACAACTCTGCTCGATACTACGACGATTTGTACAGTCTCTTCCGTCATTCTCCGATCAAAGTCCTGAAGATGGGCGAAGACCTGAAGTATCTTTCCTCCATTGATACTCGTATTGTTTCCCAGGTCAAGTCGTTCACCCTTAATTCCCAGCCATGTGAGTATGTCTCCGCCCAGCTCCCGCATGAGACTATCACTCGTTTTTACAATGCGATGCATGGTGCTCTAGAGGTGTCCATGACAAGCAACCCATTCCCCTGACGTACATCGAACGACTGGTCTGGGTCATAAGCCTGACGATCGAGCTGAGTGATGACCAATTTCCTCAGCTGTTTGGCGCTATTCGGAGGCTACCACAGCTCAGGACTCTACATATCACACATCTAGGGAATTGGAGTGCCAGTAGTCCACTCTACATTTGGGGAACCCGCATTTGAGACAGCTGAAGTTGAGGAGATCCCAATTCCTAATATCACTGAGGATGATCTTGGTGATACTTCGGACTTGCTGCCAATCAGTACAACGCTTCGAAATCTCAAGATCCATCATGGCGGACCCGACGTACTTTGGTATACCTGTTCCCTCGTCAGAAGCCTTCCAAACTTGGAGGTGATTGCAGTCCACAGAGGAAATATATCTGGACTCGAGGCACTCCGCACTGCCAGAAAAGGGATATTCGACATCAGACTTTATTATACAAAGTAATATTTCATACTTGACCACTCTTACTACCAGTGATATGAAATATGAAAACTGGCATATCATTTCAGAATGAAGCATTTGACGAAGGAAAAGCGACAAAGATACTGAGATCTGAACTCTGCTACAGGCTTTATATTATTCAGGATGTTACCAGCCTAAAATGCTACCTAGCAAGGATATATGCTGTCTTGGTCCCGTTTCTCCTGGTCCCTGCCAGGCTGGCCCGGACACCTAGCCACATGCAACTTGCTTCGCCGAACCAAGATGCCCAAGGCACAGCCAGCGCCAGTACTGCGAAATCAGAGGATCAGATTACACAATTTTTCCAGCGCTGTGATGACAAACCCGTCCTTTTCTGCCTGCTGATTCTTCGCTCTTCTCTGCTTTTCTTTCGACAATTCACCTCCAACCTCTGCAATGTCTGATAACGACCAGGCCTCAGCGGGCCCCGCACCGGCCAGCAAAGTGCACGGCAAGTCCTGGGACGAGATTGAGCAAGATCTCAACAAGCTGCCCTTCTTCATGCGCGATCTGAACACTGACGACGACGAAGAGAACCCCGCACTAGAGGCACTTAAGACTCTGGCCTACGACGGCCCGCCCGAGGAGATCGCCGAGAACTTCAAGTCGCAGGGCAATGACTGCTTCAAGGCTGGCCAGTACAAAGACGCCCTTGACTTCTACACCAAGGGTTTGGCGCCAGAGCATTACAACATCGACCTCAAGGTCTCGCTGCTCACCAACAGAGCAGCAACCAACCTGCACTTGAAAAACTATGGCAAGGTGCTCCGCGATTGCTCCGAAGCGCTGCGCCTGCGGCCCAAGTCCACCAAGGCGCTGTTCCGCTCTGCCAAGGCATGCCTGGCGCTGGGCAAGTACGAGGAGGCCCTCGAGTGCTGCAAGTGGGGGCTGGGCATTGACGAGACTAACCGCGAGATCGCGGTCCTGCAGAAGCAAGTCGAGAAGACCAAGGCCGAGCACGAGCGCAAGATCAAGGAAAAGGAGGAGCGTGAGCGCAAGCTTGCTGAGAAGCGTCAGAAGCTCAAGCAAGCGATCGAGATCCGTAAGCTCCAATTCGACACCACCAGGAAGCTAAAGCCGGAGGACTCGGACTCGGACTCGGACTCGGACGAAGAGAAGGCAAAGAAGAAGCCCGCACCGTATGCCTGGGAGAACGACTCGGGCCGCCAGGTCTCACTCGACGAGGAATCCGGCCACCTCCTCTGGCCTGTGTTCTTCCTCTATCCGGAGTTCAAGGAGTCCGATTTCGTCCAGGACTTTGACGAGGCCCTTACTATCGGCGATATGCTAGGCGAGGTGCTTGCGCAGTCGCCGCCCTGGGACACTGAGCACAAGTATACTATCGGCAATGTCGACACGTACTTTTTGCACCGCCCGGTCGGCGGCTTCGACGAGGATGAGAGACTCGTCAAGGTCGGCATGGGCACACGCCTGGGTGCCGCTATCGGCCACCAAAAGTATATTATCAGGGACGGAATCCCCAACTTTGTCGTGCTCCCACGCGGCGCACAGTTCACCGAGGAGTTCATTGACCGGTACCGCAAGCTGCGCGCTCAGAATGAGGCTGCAAAGACCACCTCTAGGACCCCTGCCAAGTAGACCTAGGTGCTGCGTTCGTGTAGAATATATTGAACCTTTATTAACGGAAATTTGAGAAAAGAATGAAAACAGTGCTGTGCCAGGACGTATGCCACCATCCTACACGCCACCAGCACATATGGACGCCATCATGTGCGGTGCGCTGTACGTGTCTCGGAGATAAACAGGTGCTTTATTTCTGGGACCCCCTTCCTGGAGTGGCATTTTTGCTTACTGGTTGCCAAAGTTGAAGCCGCCCTCGGCACCGCGACGTTGCCCTCAAAGTTGAACTGGCCAGTCTGCTCGTCGACGCCTGGCATCAACTCGCTGTCCTCCTCGTCCTCGCCCTCCTCGGCAAAGTACTTGTCGATGATGTTGTACGCCTTCTTGTAGATCTCGATGTTGTCGTGCAGCTGCAGGTTGTGGATCTTCTCCATGCCACCAGCCTCCTCGACGTACAGCGCAAACTCATTCATGTGCGACGCGTTCTTCTCGCGGTCTGCCTCGCCCACCTTCAGGATGTTCTCCAGGCCGTCCAAGGCAACCTGGATGATTTTGTTGTCCATGCAGTTCAGCAGATCGCACAGCGGCTTGATGCACCCCTGCTGCACAATGTAGCGGATCTGGTCCGGCTGGTTCAACCCGCCCGAGGTCGCGTTCGACACGGCCCAGCACGCCTCCTTCTTGCTCTTGAAGTCACCGTTCTGCAGCACGTGCAGCAGCGGCGGGAAGATGTTTGCGTCAATGACCGCCTGGATCTGCGTGGTGTTGCCCGCGGTGATGTTGGAAATCGTCCAGCACGCCTCCTTGCGGATGCCGTCCTTGGGCGAGTTCAGCAGCGACAGCAGCGCCGGCAGGGCACCGCAGTTCAGCACGACCTGGGTCTGCATATCGTCACCAGTAACAATGTTGCCGATCGAACGCAGGGCAGGTGTCTGCACAGTCGTCATCGGGTGCATCAGCAGCTCAACCAGCCGGCGGCACATGCCAGACTCAATCACCGCCTGGATCTTGTCGTTCTGCCCGTCCGACAGGTATGACACTGCCCAGCAGGCGT